CCCCACCCCAGCACCCCTCCTTCCTCCACCCGCAGCCACTCCCTCCAGCTGAGCCCTGGTTTATCTGCTGGTAGGCAACCCAGGGACCGGTTTTGGCCAGTAGCATCTGTCCCTGGAGGCAGATATAAGAAGTCCCTGGGCAGAGGCAGCCAGGCTGATGGGGGAAGAGCTGCGTTTCTCCATGCCCATTGTCCTCCCTCCCCCCGGGGTGGGGGTGGGGGGAGCCCCCCCCCTGGGGGGGGGGGGGGCTTCATGTGCTGAACTCAAAAGCAATTGATTTTTTTTTCTAGTTCCCCTATTTATTGACCTCCTTTAGAAGGGCTATCTTTTTACTGCCGTGCAAACTTTGGTGTTTCTTTGGAGTCTTCTTTTGGTCCGGGTTGGGTGGTCAGTGGTTTTATTTCTGCCCTGAAAGCTCCAGGTCCACACTTTGGGGCCGGGGAGTGTCGTGATGTGGGAACCTGTGGTCTGTGAATACTGTGTCTTGGGTTTGTGTAGCTTGTGGCTGAGGCTGGGGGAACAGCAGGGTGGGGAGGGGCTGCTCCCTGCAGCACGGCCAGGTGCAGAGGGGCTCATCAGCACCCCAGCACCACCCGGGGGCACATCCTTCCCCAGGTGAGAGGTGTAACCCACGCCCTTTTCCTGGCCACGCACCTCAGCTGGAAAAGATCAAACATTTATTACCAAAAATGTTTGGGTTTTCTTCTTTTTTTTTTTTTGTTAAGGAGTTGCTCGGTGAATAAACAACCCTTATCCACCCTTCCTCTTTGTCTGTTGCATCCAAACACAGTGGGGAAGTGCAAGTGGGAGTAGCTCCTGCCAGAGAGAAAAATGCTGATGGGGGGACATTTCCTCCTGTTCCCAGCAACGTGCTTGGCTCAAAGCTTTGTTCTGCCTCCAACCACGTCCAGGACATTTCAAGTGAAGCCCTAAAACCGCTGGGAGGGGAGAAGGGCGGAGAGAGTTGCCACCCTCCATCAAACAACCCCAAGTGGAACAGGATGCCAGCACCCCACTGTCACCCCTCACCTCCAGCCACTTGTGGCTCTGGGGACGTGCCAGGGCACAAAGGAGTTTGAAACTGCTCCCTCTCCCAGCTCTTCCAGAATTGTGCCAGTTCGGTCATCCATGCCATGAATGCCTGGCAGAGCGCTGGCCCCAAGGTGAGAGCCACACAGCCAGGCAGCTCTCCCTCCAGGGACAGGGACAGCTCTGGGGGGTTGTGCCATAGCTGGCTGCGTCACGGCAAGGACACTGAAGCAGCAGCCCGGCTGCAGCAGCTCTGCCCTGGAGGGGAAGGCAGCACTGACTCTCCAGCTCCGTCCCTGCTCCCCGAGCCATTCCCATGCTCCATGTCCAGGCTGGGACAAGCACAGTGGTGCACACACCCTCCCCTCCCAGCCACCAGGGTAAGGAAGAGGCAGATCTCTCCAGGGAAGTGTTGCTGAGAAGCTCATCCCAAGACCTGCCAGGCGCTGACAGAGGGGAGGACAAAAGGGTGACCCAGGAACCTGCTGGAGTCCTTCAGCCGCTGCCACAGCAGTCACGGTTTGGGAGCCACACCAAGCACCAGCCCAGCACAGAACCCACCTTGGGGCTGTGGGCACGCTGGAAGCTGTCAGGCAGGGGTCGTTAATGACAGACTCTCTGCCATCCCAGCTCCTAACATAAAGATTATACAGAGCATGGGTAGAGCCTGCTCCAAAGGAGTCTTTAAATACAGCTAAGCCAGCCTGGCCCACCTGGGCTACCCTGCAGCACTGCCTTCTGCAGCACCTCGCTCACCAGCCCAGCTTCAAACATCTGCTTTCAGCATAGCACCGATCAGCAAGGGACGGGTGACCTGCTGGAGGGGGCTCTCATCTCCTTAGGAGATGAAGTCAAGAGCAGCAATCAGCAGTAGTGAGCAACTCTCCCTCCAAAGCTGATCTCATTAAGTTAATGTCTACTGGAGAGAAGTAAATGATGTGGCATCTCCTCCTGCAGCCGGCTGAGCTCTCAGGGATGACATAACATGGTGGGCTTTATTCAGCACAGTAAGGAACAGACATGCAAACAAGGCAGGGTTGTGTAACCGGGGTACATGCTTCCCAATCCCAAACACCACACAGCCAGAATCCAAAACTCTGACATCACTTGGAGACAAAGCCTGTCCCAGCAAAGGTGCTCACCGATTCCCTTCCTGCTTTACCCCACACATGACGATGGCTTTCCCTGGGAAAGGGGGGCCAACGAAGAGGTGTCACCAACCAGCAGAGCTGGGACAGGAAAGGCAGAGGGAGATGGGGAGGCAAAAACCTCAGTCCAGAGTGCTGGAACCTTCTACATCACTCCCCCCTCTTGCAAGGGGCCACCTCAGTTTATCGTGAGGACATCGCTCTGAATCTCGTGGCTTAGCTGGGTCTGGAGGTCGCTCAGTTTCTTCTTCAGGCCAGACAGTGCGGAGAGAACTATGGTCTCCGGGCGCAGAGAACCACAGGACTCCACGTTGTAATAAAACCTGAGGTTACAAATCAGGTGGATAAGTCCAGCCCGTCCTGACCCACCACAGGGAGATCTGCTGGGAATCCCAACCATCAGCATCATTCACCTCCCAACCAGGCAACAGCCAGCACTGCCTTTCTAAAACCGTCACACCAACACTCGTGACTCCACAGGCTGCAAGAGCCCTTCTAAGATTTTCTCCGTTCCAGCACTGTGACCTGCAAGGCAGCACAGAGTCCCGTGCCAGGGAGTCGGACTGGCTGCAGGCACTCCTGTAGCACAGCTAACCCAGAAGAGGGGGGACCACCAGCAATCAGAGCACAAGAGACCTGCATGCATGAATAAATATCCCAAGCCGTTTTCCCCCGCAGGCCTCACGCTTCACCGAGTGCTGTGCTGCCCTACTTGCTAACATGAACTCAGGAGAACTGTCTGGTATCTCCCAGAGGGGAAAACCTGCCAGGCCTGGGCATATCACCAGTTAACTCCAACTCCTGCCCTGCTTTTCAGGGAACACCAGCTCCATGGGCTGGCAAACTTCAGCGCAGAGTATTAGCGAAATCAGCTCTTGTATTAACAAAAGCCAATGAGATGCACCCAGCCAGTCCCCCCATTTTCCAGCTGTGGCAGTGCATTCAGCTTCCTACCTCTCTGGCTTCCCATTGGGGTCATAGGGAGCCTGAGCATCCTCCTCGTCAATCTCAGAGTACTCACTCTTGGGCCTGGAATCAGAGAGCAGGAAAGGTTAGCACAGAGCCCAGGCTCTAGCCTGGCCCACAGCACCCAGGCACTCTGCAGCACTGTTTGGCCCCAGAGAGCAAGCACTGGGGCTCACATCCAGCAGGTGAAGGAGCAGTCATCGAATGTCAAGTCACGGAAAAAGGCTCAGTCCCACCTTGCTCTTTCTAGCTCCTCATTAATGGCACAGAGTCCCCCAGCAGTGCTAGAGGAAGAGGATGAGCCCCACTCTGCCAAAACTCAGCGAGCCCTGTGTGGGTACTGTGGCTCCATCTGCCTCCACTCACACAATCTGGAAGGTGCTTACAGCAAATGGGTGTCAATGATGTTTATGGAGCCTGGATGCTGTTTAGGGAGCAACGCACCCTGTGTTATCTTTTCTTTCTACTTTTCACTGGGCCAGGAAAACACCAGAGCGCTCCAGCACTCGGTCTGGGCAGCACAGCTGAGCCGGGAAGGCCTACGGGAAGGCTTGTGCCCAGCAGGAAACAATCTCCTGTATTTCAGACACCACTGAGCCCCATCCCCATGTCCTGCATCTCCACTCCTCTACACACATCACTCCCAAAATCACTGCAATACCCATGCATCAGCTAGGCCAACACATCTTTCTGTGTTGCATCCCTTGGCTTATAGAGCATCATACCAGAGAGACTGTTCGTAAGCACTTAATCTGTGTAAGAAAACTCAAAGCCTTGAGCTGTCTGAGAAGCCAGCACAGAAAATCCCATGCCTGCCAAGGTCTCCTGCTGGCCTTCCTCTGCCCCAGTGATGTCAAGAAAGGCCGATCCTAGCAGCCTACTGTTAGCTGCCTTAAATAAAACTGCGCTTCCCAAACAAATCCTCTGTCTGTAACAAACCACTGAGAGAGATAAAGCATTAACGGAGCTGGATCTTCAAGTTACTTGCACAATCACCCAGGACTAAAAACAGGGCAGAGGTTTCCACCACCACAACAGCCGCTGTGCGAGTCCAGCTGTGGGCCAGTGCTCTGCCAACAGCCTCAAAAAAGGCAATGAGCATGTACAATCAAGCCCAAAATAACAGCTAGCCTTGGACAGCAGAGGCCTTTGTCTCTGTATTGTCTTCACAGGGAAATCAGATGAACTTGGAAAGACGGCCGTACCATCAGGGAACGGGCAGCTCCAATGGCAATCTTCCTTTGGCATTTTTCCACCTTTTATATATATCTTGTCAAAAACTTCTCAGAAACTGTTTCCAGTTACCCAGCCTGTTGTGTGACACAACAGGTTCCGGAAGACACAGCTGACTGCCACCGAACAGAAGGATCCACATTAGCAGCTGTGTTGGGCCACCCGGCCAGGGAAGCACCTCATCACCGAGGGACACATGCTCAGCCACGCGACCAGGGCCATTCTCCACAACACCAACATCTCCAAAAACCCAAACTCTCCTAAACTCACACTGTGACATTCCCCCTCCAAAAAGAGGGCAAACCCAGGGATCCCTCAGCCTGCCTGTCCAACTCAAAGCAGCATTCCGAGTCTGTCACTTCATCAGTGTCAAAGACTTACTATCTAGCATTACAGAAACTAAACCAGAGCATTTTTACAGCACCATGAGAAAGCCAAAAACTATTTCAAATCCTGATTGGAAATTCCACATCACAAAGACATTCTTGCTTCTCAAGTATCCAATCACTCAGACAACCAACTAAACTTTGGGGCAATTTACCTGCCACAAATCATTTGGAAACTTCAAAACCATCCAGTTCCACCCCCAAAACTACTGGTGACAAAGGACAGGCTGGCACATCAACTCATGTGGCCCACTCCTGACCACAAAACTGCCACGCAGCATCCTCCTCAACTCTGCACCACCTCACCACAACTGGCCTCTCAGGGACTTTCGCTCCCCCGACAGCCTGGTCTGTAGCTGGCAGTTCCCAACGTCCAGCCTTAGTCCCCATGTACAGATAGTCAACGCAAAGGAAAAATGCCCATTTCCAGATTTCCAGCACTACCAGCCAGCCTGGTTCCTACTGCAGATCCCAGAGCACCGCCCTGACAAAGTGCTGAAAGAGCTGAACGCCAGGCACGTCCCATTCTCACCCAGACTGACTGAACCAGACCTAGGAATGTGCCCTACAGAGCCCATCAAAGCCAAGTGGGGTTTGTTCCTTCCATCCGTAAAACAGGGCTGGGATGGCTGCAGGCAGATCCCAGCCTGTTTCATGCATGTTATAGATTCACCTGCAACTCCAACCTCGGTGACAAAAGGCTTCTCAAGTCTCCTGTGTGCAAACCTAGCTGCACAGGATTTCTGTGACAGCTCCTGAGTAGAAAGCCTAGGCGGTCTGGCTGTGGCGTGAAGTTTAGGCTAACTGCACCTCCAGGAAGCTCATTTACTGGTACCTAACTCAGCAGAGATAGCGTAAGGCCACGCTCTACAATGGGCCTGAACACCCAGGCTCGAAGGGGACAGTGCGGAAGTACAACAGCCCACTATCCAGAATCATAGAATCATGGAATCATTGAGGTTGGAAAAGCCCTTTAAGATCACCAAGCCCAACTGTTCCCCTAACCCTGCCATCCCACCACCAAACCCTGGCCCCAAGCACCTCCTCTGCCTGGCTTTTAAATCCCCCCAGGGATGGGGACTCG